CCTCCTGCTGCGCCGCCTGCCGACCTGCTCCTCGGCCTCGCCGCCGCCGCGCCTGCCGCCGCCCTCGGATGCGCATCGCCACGCCCTCACCATCGCCCTCGCAAACGCCCGCCCGCTCCCCGTCCTCGCCCCGGCCGTGCGCCTCTACCTCCCGGCCATCCTGCCGCCGCCCTCCTCCGCCCCGCTCACCTGGACCTCCGCCCTCACCCTCTCGCCGACCGCCTTCTCCGCCGACCTCGGCCTCGAGGCCGCCGTCCTCCTCTCGCTGCACGGCCTCCTCCTGCTCGAACTCGCCCTCGCTTCGGAGCACGGCCTCGGCCTGGACCCGCCCCCGGACCTGGTCCTCCGCATCCGCCGTCTGCACGCCGCCGCCGGTGTCTTCGAGTATCTGCGCGACTCGCTCGCCCCGCACGTCTTCCTCACCTTCCAGGGCGCCCCGCCGCCGGAGATCGTCCCGGACGTCGCCGACGCCCTCGCCCACCTCGCGCTCGCTGCGGCCCAGGTCCTACACGTGCGCCGCGCCGTGCTCAACGACACCAGCGCCCCGCTGCTGTGCAAGCTGTCGCTGGCCGCCCGCGACTTTGCCGCCGCCGCAGTGCGCAGCGCCGACGTGGCCGCCGCGTCGGGCGTCGACTTGACCCAACGCGTGCGCGCCATCGCTCAGGACCTGCATCTCGTCGCCACGGGCTGGGCCTTCCAGCACCTGGCCCGCGCCATGCCGCAGGCCGACAGCGCCGGCGCGCGCGTCGCCGCCCTAGGCGAGGCTGTGGACTGCCTGCGTCGCGCCGCCGCGTCCCCGCTGGTCGCGCCCGTCGCCGCGCTGGAGCTCGACGCGCTCGGAAGGGAGAGGGAGGACGCCGTCGGCGACAATAAGATCGTTTACCAACATGCCATTCCTAAGGCCGCCGCTCTCCCGCTACCACAGGGGAGGGCCCTCGCGCACGCCACCGCGTTCGACCCTCGCGCCGTGCAGCCCGCGCCATAGCGACGCAGCGCGCCTTGGCGCGGAGCGCTCGTCAAATACCAGCCCGCCGCCTCTTTTTTGTGCGCCGCGTCAATGATACGGCTCGCTAGCGCGCGACTCGCTTGGTTGACCATACATGGCGAGTGAAAGTTAAGCGTGACGTAGTCAGGGCAAGCGGCCCTGCGCTGCGCCACCCCCATGCTGCCAACCCCCCACCTCTCCGACTAGCTTCTCGACCCTCTCTAACACGCCCCCCAAGCAAGCGCTAACACTGGCGACGACGTCGTTTTGGCGCGCGGCCTCCTTCTCGAAGGCGTCGTGCCTCGACTTGACGGCTTGACGGGCCTCGTCGCGGGTCATCTCAACTAGCAGGCCCAGGCCTACGTCAACGATGACGGGATCGACAGCGGGCGCGACAGCGTCCGCGTAGAACTCCTCGCCGATGTTGACACGCGTGCGCAGCGCGGGCGCGACGTCGCCGCCCTCGTCGGTGGCAGACGACGCCGGGAGGCGCGACAGGACGTCCAGGACGTCCAGGGCCGTGGACATGCGGTCGGCCTCAGCGAGCGCGGCGTAGGCGGCGTCGCGCGAGGCAAGCGCCTTGTTCAGGGTGGGCCGCAGACGACGATCGACGGCGCGGGTGTACGAGGCGATGGCGGCATTGGCGTCAGGGAGGGAAGGCGACGCCATGCCGGGTGCCGGGTTTCGAGGGGTTGCTTCGGTTAGGGCGAGCGGGGGAAGGCGAAGGGGGGTTGGGGGAACGGGACGGGATCAAATACAACTTGTCGAAGCCACGTGTCCACGCACGACACATATGTAAAAGACACGATGAAGAGGGAGAGAGGACGCGGCAGTGCCCGTCAAAGGCCATCATCGACCTTCCTAGCGCTTGCTTGGCGGCACATACTCCGTCGGCAGCACCTCGGGAATCCCTGAGATACCCTCTCCTCTCGCCTTCTTGATCAGCGTCATCGCTAGCGCAAACTCCTCCCCGTCCAGCAACCCGTCCTCGTCCACGTCGGCCAAGTCCCAAATCCGCTTAAGCGCAGGCGCCGGCAGCCCGCTGTCTAGCATCAGCCCGCGTACCTGCGCTCCGGTCAGCGCCGGGGGCTCGCCGCTCGGCCCCAGCCCTTGAAACACCGCGTCCCATTTGGCCTTGGCCGCGTCCGACACCGCCCACTTCATCCCGTCGTCCTTGCGCCCCCCCACTTCGCCGAACGGGTTCCCCCCGTCGCGCTCCTCGTCGCCCGCCGCGTGCTTGGCCCGTCCAGACTCCTCGGCCGACATCCCGATCTCTAGCATCAGCTTCGGGATGTCCCGCGCCAACGCCCCCTCCGCCACGTCCAGGAGCCGCTTAGAGAGGTTCGGGAATTCCGACAGGTCGAACGCTTCCAGCCCCGCCCGGAACTTGTCCACGGACGGAAAGTCCCCGATAGCCAGCCCGTGCGCTTTCTGCACCTTGACATACTCGTCCTTTAACCGCAGGGCAAGCCGCTCCTGTTTCTTCTTGTGACCCCACAGGTACGGCATACTTGCGCGCAAATGCGTCACCAACAATGCGTGTACTCGTGCTAGCCGCGCCCGTTTTACAAGTTCGTTGATCTTGCGCACCGCTGAATGCTGGGGGAGCGACCGCAAGTCGTCTAGTAAATCTGCTTGCTCCTTCGTGAACAGCGGTTCGTTCGACGCCCCGCTTGCGTTCAGCGGCTTGTTCCAGAACGACCCGATGTATACCCGCAGCACTTCGGGCGAGCGAATCACCTTTCCTAGCGACCACATCAGCGCCCCGTAAACTCGCATTAGCTGTTGTGGGCCGACCATATCCGCTTTGTTCAGCACGATTCGAATCTTGTCGTCGTGCGTTTTGAGACACTCGATGACCCGTTTCAGTTCGTCTGATATGTCCAGTTTGTTGCCGTCAAACAGCAAGAGGATGCGGTCCGCGCGTTCCGCAAACCACTCCACCACGTGTTCGAACGAGTAACCACGTTCCACACGCTGCTTTTCCCCGCTCAGGATGCCGGGAGTGTCGATGAAGCTGATATTGTCAAGGATGGGGGAGGCAAGCTCGGAAACTTCAAAACGGCTCAAAAAGCTTACGCCAAAGCGCGAAAGCGATGAAAAAGGCCGTTCTACATCCACAGCAGCCGCATTACCAGGCATCACGCCTTCCGCCTGACCAGGCCGCCCCGCCATGACAGCAAGAAAGCGATCTGTTGTGGGTTCCGGTCCGATGCGCGCACCCGGAAAGTCGCGCTCTAGCATATACCGGATGAATGACGTCTTTCCGACAGAGTAGCCACCAACTAATAGTACGAATGGACGTGCGTCAAAATCTCCATCTGCTAATTCTGTTGCATAAAACTCGGAAAACTTGTATGCTTGCTCGATAGGTCTGATCTTCGCTTTGTAGATCCTCTTCAATCGGTCCATCGCATTCGCGTGGGCTTCTCGTTGCTTCATAGTCCCCGGGTCAGAAAAGTACGATTTCGCGGATGCATTTGGCGGTAGTGATGAGTGCGTGCTGGAAAAGCCCAGCAGCTTCGCTCGACGGTCAACGGCATGCAAGCAGATGTCGCATACTCGGACTGCTTCATGGTGGCCCTTCTCGGGTACAGCCCTTTTACCGGAGGAACAAGAGTGACAAAATGAATCGTTGCATGCACGGCAAACATGCTTTGCTTTAGTGAACGTAAACTGTGCACTACACCCAGCGCAGTGTGTCTGTTGCATTCTGAATCTGACTCTCTAATGCCAAGGCCTCACGAGCTGCTGGATGTTGCCTGTCACAGGTAGCTCAAGCTCCGCCGCCGCATTGACGGCCGTTGTCTCTCCCTCTTGTGGAGAGCGATGAATGCAGGAGGACCTCTGCGATGCCGACAAGACCAATGGCGACCCTGACACTAAATACTGTTTGGAGCCCACAAAGGAAATATTTTTCGTCATCTTTTGGTGTGGCTAAGAAAGAGTCTATATTTTGAGGTGTTGCTAATTTAATGGGCATCCGTCCGGCAGCACACTACTCAAACTCAAGCTCAACAGCCAAGACCCCGGAACAGCCCGTTGCAAGTTCGCAAACGCTCTTGGCAGCTTTTGCAACACTGCTTTTTGTTGCTGTGTATCGCTCGGACGAAATCGGGACGCTGCTTCAAGACAAGCTCATCTATCCTCCGTCTATCAATTAGCTGCGGTAGCGTCGATATGGTTGGTTTCGGCCAACTCGTTGTTGGTCCCCCTGGCTCCGGGAAGACTACTTATTGTGCTGGAATGATGCAGTTTTTTAAGGCCTCTGGAAGGTAAGTTACAACGCGACCAAAGAGACCGGAATAAGACACTACGCTCGTCTTGGACAAAGCCAAAAGGCAAAACCTGACGCCCCCTTCTGCAATACAACAACGCCCCGCTATACGTGTCTTGCCCTTTAGAGACGCAGTGGTTTTCAACATGGATCCAGCCAACGAAGACTTGCCGTACGAAGCCGCTGCCGATATCGCAGACTTGGTATCTACTGAAGCGATTGCGTCCGAATTCTCGCTGGGACCAAACGGAAGCTTACTCTATGCTATGGAATTTCTAGAAAAGAACTTCTCGTGGCTTGACAAAAAGCTGGAAGAGCATAAAGGCCAATATATCCTGTTCGACTTCCCTGGCCAAATTGAGTTGTACACACACAACGAGTGTATCCGCAACATTGTACAAAAGCTTTTGCGGAAAGGATATCGGGTGAGTATGCACGAAATCTACGCTACACTCCTTTTTGACGATTGACATTCGCGAGCGCTGACATTGTGATTTCCTGTTGTTGTCGAGTTTTTCAGATAACTGCTGTGAACCTTGTCGACTCTCACTACTGCTCCGATCCGTCAAAATTCATCGCCGTCATGCTCACCTCAGCGACTCTCATGTTGCAACTTGAAATGCCTGCAGTTAACGTCCTATCTAAGATTGATATTATAGAGCAATACGGAGAGCTCCGTGCGTTCGCATCCAAAACTACATGCCCTTTACGTCCTACTTCTACTTCAAGACACTGTACTAACCAAATCCGTTCCCTCTATTGTGTAATGTTTCATTGAGTAGCATTCAATCTCGACTTCTTTACCGACAATGGTAATTTGAGTCATTTGGTAGACATGCTGGAACTTGATCCCCGAATGAAGAAATTTGCGAAATTGAATCAAGCCCTCGTCAGTCTAATCGAAGACTTTCCCTTTGTTGGGTATCACACTCTAAACATTCAAGACAAAGAAAGCGTCATACATCTTTTGCGAGCAATTGACAAATCAAATGGATACATGTACTCTAATTTAGACGTTAACAATTTGGCATATGATGCCTTTCTAGGCAAGCCAGAAAAGGACCATCGCTGGACAATGGAAGTACAAGAAAGATATATGAAGCGGTAACGAATTGTATATGGTAGGACTGGTAGAGAAATGCGAGTCAGTTATCTTTGAATTGAACATATCATTCTATTTGTACACTATCCTGCAGTGACGATCCAAAGCTGCGAAAGAGAGCGGCAGGTCCTTTCAATATTGATAGACTGACTATAGCCCCAAATGAGTGCAACGAGAGTTAAGAAGAGGAAAGCGACGCTATTCATACGTTTAATTAAGCCTCATCGAGAAGATAACTTTTTCGGACTATGCAATTGGCTTCTCAGGACCGAAGCTATTTATCAAGTTCTAGTTTCGATATCGAGCTACTAGACACATTTCACGGAAAGTTTGTATGTTTCCTCTCGATCGGAACCGTAGACTGTAGCAGTCAAGCGAAGTTCTTGATTCCTCCTGCACCTCAGTGCAGAAAGTCTTCCATTCGAGCTTCCGTTGACTATAAAGGGAGCCTTGTGTTCTGTGTGAGTGAGCCCACTCCCCTTGAACACAACTTTTTCAACTGGACCTGACACATTCAGACCGAGAGTGAAGCCCCTACTGTACCGTCTAGCCCTGACTCTGATGCTTCGGTCCCCTGTGTCTTGGCCGCTTCTAGTCTTCACGTTATAAACGACGAGCCCTCCGACCTTAAACGCACCTCTGCCTCCTCGAGCGCCCCTGCCTCCACGAGCGCCCCTGCTAGGGCTTGGTCTTGCTGGAGAGCTCCCTGAAGACTTGAGATCTCCGCTGGAGATGAAAGGGGGAAGATCTCGCGGGCGCCTCTTTTGCACTTTATGTCCGCGACATGGTTCCCTTTTGCAAACCCCGACTCTGTCGGTAGAAGATAGGCATCCATCTCTGTGTTTGGTGTTAAGGCCCGGGGCGAAGACGGGTTTCGAAGAAGATGATAGACGAGCACCGCCCTCGATCCTCACAAACGAGCAGCTGTAGTAATCACCGAAAAAGCTGTCATGCTTAAAGTCACCCCCACCGTACCATGCCCATCCCAGTACGTAAATACCATCGGGATAAGCAGTCGGAACCGTAATAGGAGCCCTATAGGCCATACCCTCTTTGTCATTTCCGCAGACATGTTTGTTTCTTGATTTACATTTGTGAAGCCCAGAACTCCAGCAAGAAATCTGAAACGTAAACTTCTTGTGAGCCCTCGAGTCCATCATTTTGTCCACCGGAACGAGAGTGAGTCTGACGAAACCGGACTCTCCCTTTCCATGGTTGTTTCGATGCCACGAAACAGTTTTTTGTTCCCCCCGTCTCCAGGTTGCGGCTGGGCGGCTTGGGCTGATACCGGTTGGGTCACCGTAGGTGTCTAGAGCTGGGCAAGGACCATAGCAGTCACGAGGGCGGCCATTTCCGGCTCTGCAGTCCAAACGACGAGTGGGTAGAGGCTGACCCAGGTGGCTGTGACCTTCCACGAAGGCCGTGAGAATAAACAAACTTGCGAGAAAGATATAGTTTCGTATCATTTAGAAGAATGCAGTCTAATGGGTGGATTGTGTTGTTGTAGTTGCGAGGTTGGGTAGATTTGTGTTCGTAGCGAGAAGTGGGTGTGAGTGTGTTGGGCAAAAACAGGAGAGACTATGAAGGTGGAGAACAGACTTCTGTATCGACTTTTTATATAGAGTAGCCTCTGCTGGGTGCATCCGTGAAACAAGCAAGTGGTTGCTCCACTAACACATATGGATTCAGCCGAATGGGACCAGTAGCCCCGAAAAGGGAATGCGACAGCCGGTCAGAATAGACCGAACAGGAAGTCTGCTTTCTTGAGTGGGCGTGAACATTAAGCTTCGATGACCTCTTCAGGGATGTGCCTGCACGGAACGGAGGGCGGGGAAGTGCATCAGCACCAATATGGAGAAAGCGTCTTTGGAGTGGTGGTTTTTGTTTCTAAATCGAGAACGGGACTTGAATTGTCAACTCTGAGTGTGTTGACGCAGAAATGAGTCGTGATTGTATGTCTTCGGCGGATACAGGAGAAACGGTGAATGGACGGCTATTTCGAAAGAAAGGCGGTAACGCCCGCTCACGGGCAGGACAATGATTACTCGCATGCCTTCGAGGTACGTTAGCGGTCGCGACATTAAGCACATGGCAGGCGATCCTAGACTAATGACAATAATGATAGTATCGGCCGGCAGGCAGGCACAGCGAAGGAATGCGGGAATGGAAACGATAAGGATCAGATGCCCCCAGTCACGGGGACTGCCGGTTGCAATCACACACTAGGTGCACTCGTAAACACGGACCAAAGAAGCAAGTTCCTCCCTTCCGAATCGTTTCCAGACACGTATTTCTACCTACAGTATCGAAATGACTCCTATGTATGCCTCGGCGCTAATGAGACGTTTTCACCACGCCCTACTAGCTCATGGTGTTGCATGCGCGAATGATTGTATGCGCAGTGATGTTGCTCGAGTCAGCTGGCATGGACGAGACAACTGCCCATTCGCCGTCACAGAGGAGGCCTGGGATGGTGCTCCGCTGTCAACGGGAAGCAGTCGGCTAAGGAGGCGAGTGGGACTTAACATTCGCACTCGCCTTCTTGGCAGGCGGCTTTCGTCACAGGGTCCCTCCATGAAGCCATGTTAGCTTTTCCACGTTTGATCGTCAAGTTCCCTCCCTGCGTACGCACGGCACGGGTAGATGTTGACGCTGAGGAGTATTTATATAGAAGATTGGGAGGCGCTGTCGCCGACGTCCCCGCGGCGGCTTTGGATGACAAGCTGAAATTTTGGACATTTCTGTAAAATATTTCTGCCAATCCTGAACTATTTCTTGGTAGAAACGGCTTCTCTTGAACCATAACCCGCCATCTACCAATAGTACTTCATACTTGCAACCAATTGCAAGTTGGGATTAAACAAATATGACCTATTAAGAAAAGACACTTGGCACAAAACCACCCTACCTGGACCGCCTCGATACTCCTGGTGCAGCTCCATCACCAGCAGGCGTTTCATTGCGCCATCCCCGACTCACCACTTCCCTTCTCTCCTCCGGAGTTATCGCAAGGCGCGTCAACGCCGCCCCGCCATGGCTCTGCGATCGAATTTCTCTCGCATCATCCACAGCTCCCGCGGCATATTCGCAGCAACCCCAACCCGAGCCTTTTCGCCGCTCGCTGGCACTCACTTCCGCTCCAAGGCAGCGGCCGCCACCCCTGCTGCCCCCCCAAAAGAGGAAGAGACATGGCGCGTGTCCAACTACTCCGGATCGCACGGGGGCCTCTCCGATGAAAACCGCGTTTTCACCAACCTCTACCGCGACGGTGATTGGAAGCTCGAGGGCGCCCTAAAGCGCGGCGACTGGCACAAGACCAAGGACCTCGTTCAGATGGGCCGCGACTGGATCATCAACGAGATCAAGGCCTCAGGTCTTCGCGGCCGTGGTGGTGCCGGCTTTCCCTCAGGCCTCAAGTACTCGTTCATGCCCAACGGAAGCCCGGATGGCCGTCCGAATTACCTCGTTGTGAATGCAGATGAGTCCGAGCCGGGTACGTGCAAAGATAGAGAGATTATGCGATCCGATCCGCATAAGCTTGTAGAGGGCTGTCTGCTCGTCGGACGCGCTATGAGTGCCCGTGCCGCATACATCTACGTGCGTGGCGAGTTTATCGATGAGCGCAGAGCCTTGGAAGTCGCTGTCCAGGAGGCCTATGCCAAGGGGCTAATCGGAAAGAATGCTAGCGGCTCTGGCTACGACTTTGACGTTCACGTTGCGTATGGCGCGGGCGCGTATATTTGTGGTGAGGAGACGGCCATGATTGAAAGCTTGGAAGGGAAGCAGGGAAAGCCGCGTCTGAAGCCCCCCTTCCCGGCTAACATTGGTCTGTACGGATGTCCGACTACTGTGACTAATGTCGAGACAGTTTCCGTCGTGCCAACTATCCTGCGTCGTGGGTCAGACTGGTTTGCCTCAATGGGACGCACGGGAAATGCCGGGACGAAACTCTTCTGTATTTCAGGCCACGTCAACAACCCGTGCACGGTTGAGGAAGAAATGTCGATCCCTCTTCGTGAGTTGATTGACAGACATTGCGGCGGAGTTCGCGGCGGCTGGAATAACCTGCTCGCCATTATCCCAGGGGGATCGTCTGTGCAATTGATGCCCAGGCATGTTTGCGAGGACGTATTTATGGACTTTGACTCCCTGAAAGCTGTTGGCTCGGGCCTTGGTACAGCAGCCGTTATCGTGATGGACAAAAGCACAGACGTGATCGCTGCCATTGCAAGGCTTTCATATTTTTACAAGCACGAATCTTGCGGGCAGTGCACGCCGTGCAGAGAAGGGACGGGGTGGTTGTGGATGCTGATGGAACGCATGAAGGCCGGGGATGCTAAGGTGGAGGAAATTGACATGCTTTGGGAAATCACCAAGCAGATTGAGGGTCACACGATTTGTGCACTTGGTGACGCTGCGGCGTGGCCAGTTCAGGGCGTGATTCGTCACTTCAGACCGGAATTTGAGAGGCGAATTGCGGAATTCCAAGCAAGACATGAGAAGGCGGAAGTCAGCGCGTAGCGATTTTTGCTTTCGTTTATTGACACCCACCCTGGAATATATAGATAGCTACCACGCGTGCTGTGCTCGTTTGATCACGTGGTAAAGTGCTGTCGCTGAGCCCGCGTGTTTTGATGGCCTAGCAATTGTGGGCATTTTGTAAGAGATGGTAACCCTGCTCACGTTCTTCGCTACAAACGGCAGCAGGCTCTAATAGAAAGCCTCTGCTCTCGATGGAATAAATCGTGTGATGATTGTTCGGTCTGTAATTTGCTTACAGAACAGGCACGTACTGTACAGCTTCATCATCATGGAATCGGGACGTCGGTTTTTCTTTATAGTGTTCGTCATCGTCGATTCTCTCTGCCCAACTCGACATCCCTTCCTCCGCAAGATCCCACACAGTCGTATCTTATTCGAAGAAAATCGCTCGGGAACATATATTGGCGTCCTCAAACTGAAAAATCCGGAAGGTGCACACTACAGCCTGGACATTGAATTTGTAAGAAACAGAGCAATTGTGGACTGCTCGCACGAGAAAAGCCATGGGAAAAGCGAGCAAAGACAAGCGCGACGTCTACTACAGAAAAGCAAAAGCACTAGGATATCGCGCGAGATCCGCATTCAAGCTTGAGCAGCTCGATGAACAATGCGACCTTCTGTCAAAGGCGACCAACATAGTAGACCTCTGCGCAGCGCCAGGTAGTTGGAGTCAGTACATTGCTCGTCGCATGCGCGATTTGGGCAGAGCGAAGGAGTCACGCATCATCGCCATCGACTTGCAAGAGATGGCTCCGATCGAAGGCGTCAAAATGCTACAGGCCGACATCACGAAGAAGTCAACGTTGGAGGAAATACTACGTTATTTCGGCAACACGCCTGCAGATATCGTCGTGAGTGATGGTGCTCCCGATGTTACCGGGTTGCATGATATTGATGAATACGTTCAGGCTCAACTTGTTCTTGCTGCTCTAAACGTTGCTAGTCAGATGTTGCGACCCGGTGGTTCCTTCGTCGCCAAAGTTTTTCGGCAAAAGGACACAGATTTGTTGTACAGCCAACTCAAAATGTATTTTCCTGACGTTGCTGTTGTCAAGCCGAGAAGTAGCAGGAATAGCAGCATTGAGGCATTTGTTGTGTGTCGCAATTATTCGCCGGTACCTGGGTTTGTGCCAGTCATCATTTCAAGTGATCCATCGAAGAATGCAGAGGGCGAGGCCCTTTCCGATATGAACAGAATTGCAGTGCCCTTCATCAGTGCCGGCGATTTGTCCGGGCTAGACTCTGACATGTCGTACTCTCTTGATGCCGACATCGGAGATCTCAGCTTATCAGAGGCAGGCTCATCAGCCCGACATGATCATGAGGGAGCGTACGTGCCACTGCCGCCGGTTGTTGCTCCAATTCAACCTCCATACGCAGAAGCTCTTCGACGAAAGAGGGAAGCAGATGGACAAAAGCAGGAATGACTTGCACCAAAACCTGTTGCCATGCTACAAGAAGTCCACACTCTTCTTGTGCCCACTTTAAGTCTAATGTCCATCCTGAATCATTCTAAAGCATTGCGTTCATGATTAGGTGGCCTGGTGTACTTCAGTGGAGAGCGCTCATGCGCAATGCATTACAAAATCATTTTTGAGAACGAAGTTGGAAAATGCCTCTGCGCCACCGTCAACAAGCGTTTCACGCCTTGAATGTACTTTCGAGCTCGGTCGTCATTCATGACATGCGCAATCTTGTCTTCGCCAATTTTTTCACGGGCTGCTCTTGCATGGATGCCAACCATTGTGGCCCCCATTGGCCAGGGCGCTTTTCCAATGGCCAACTGCTCCAGGTATATGCTGTTTGCTCGAATGTATTCTCGCTCCGCCGCAGCCTCGAAAATGCCTTTCAAAGGATCAAGAATCTTCTTGGGGAGCTTTCTCTTCCGGAGGAGCCGATACAAAGGTTTCAGCCAATCCTTCGTTTCTTCGTACGTTACGACCAAAGAGCGACCCTTCGTTGTTCTTCGCTCCTCCTTCGATATTGACTCGATCTCCGAAGCCCATAATCCCATGTACTTGCGCATCTCAAGGTAGACGTAGTCCTCCTTGCAATTTGGGGTGCCAAGTGTGGATTCAAAATTGGGGCGAGCACTTTTATCCTTCTTGATGGCTTTCTTGTTTAACTCCGGGAGCTTGGCGTCTGCGTAATTATACATATCTTCCTCGGCATCCTTTGCTTCCATCTCTCGCAATCTTTTTTGAAACAGGTTCCGTTGTCCCTTGGAACCCTCTTCTCGAGCAAGGTCCACTTCCCGTAGTCGATCAAATCGATCCCAGTCGTCCTCCCCAAACAATGTCACAGGCTCTTTGAGACCCCGTAACCGCGCTACAACTTCTCCCTTCGACAGCGGAGGATTTCCCTCGCGGTCCCCAGAACGCGACGTGGCGGTCCCTTTCTGATCGCCTTTTGCAGCAGGCTTGCCCTTCTCTCCAGCGGACGAAACGAGCCCTCTCTCCCAGAGTGATCCTAGCTGACCGCTGCCGTCACCGGCGTACGTACTGTTTGCCTCCCGAGCCTTTTCTTTCTCTTTTCGTTTACGCTCTGCCTCCTCCTTTTCGCGCTGGTAGTACTCCCGCCGTTGCTGTTCATCGACCTCCGCCTTCGAACGCCATCTCTTTGCTGGTCGGTCGGCTGACTCGGAAGATGGCCCCGAACTTCGCTCCTTTCGCTTTTTTGCAATCCCCGCCTGCAGAGCCGCTAAAGCATTCATTTTCGTATTCTTGCCGACTCAAAGCACTCTTGAGGGGAATTTTGATTTGCGATGACGGGTCAGGATGTGACCAGTGCCACGAAAAACTTGAACAATCTGCTCCTAAACACGTGATAGCGCGTGTACTTTCTAGTACGCACGAGTGCAAGAAAAATTAATGACCGCGCCTGACTTTAGCATTGTGGGAACGATGACACCTTTTACCTCCTGTGTTGGGTTCCACTACATGCTACTTATACTGATTCCATTGGATGTACACGTGTGCGGTCTGTTAGAGTAGCATTGTTGGTAGTATCTGTGAGTATGGTGTGTGTGTGCGGTCTGTCAGCCCCCCTCTCACGGATACTGCGCAATGCGGAGGGTTTGGGTGCAATGATGTTAAGTTGAGCAGTGAGGTCTGTGAATCGCTGTCCGTGGAGAGGTTTGGTGAACAGGTCAGCTAGCTGGTCTTTGGTCGGAATGTAGCGAATGACGATCGTCCCTTTCTTGAGGTGATCATGGATAAAGTGCTCTTTGATGTCGATGAATTTGCGCTTTTTCGTTGGGCATGTGTTCTTCGCGACTTGAATAGCTGCTTGATTGTCGACATGTAATGGGGTGGGGTCGGTGTTGTAGAGTTGTAGATCTTGTAGAACGCGTCGCAGCCATGCGGTTTGTTGCACCGTCGAAGTCGCAGCAATGTACTCGGCTTCGCATGTAGACAGCGCAATGACTGCTTGCTTCTTTGAGGACCAGTCAATGGGGGAGCAGCCGAGTGTGTGGACGATGCCGGAGTATGATTTGCGGTCTTTCGTGCTGGCGAAATCGGCGTCTGAGTAGCTTTGTAAAGGTGTGGGGTTGCAGTTGTAGTGGATTCCATGCGTGCTAGTATGTTTCAGGTATCTGAGGAGCCGCTTAAGGGCGGACCAGTGGTGTTGAGTGGGATTGTGCATGTTCGTGGATAGGAGATTGGTGGCATGGTAGATATCGGGGCGAGTCGAATCTGCGACGTATCGCAGGTCGCCTACGAGTTGTCTGTATGTGCTGTGCAGTTCGTCAGTTAGGGGCGTTTCGGGGTTTTTGTTTAGGGTGTTCTTCGTGGCGATGTAGGGAGTGGGTTTGGGGTTGCATTCAGAGAGTTGTATTTTTGCGAGAATGGCCCTGATGGTGTGTGGTTGCGATATGTGAATACTTCCGTCTGGGAAACGTTGCAGTTTCCAGTTGAGGAGGAGTTTGGGGTTCGGGAATCGCTTGATTGTGTATTTGGTGGAGAGGATTGTGTGCAGTTCGTCGAGTAGGAGTTGGTTAGTTGCAGTGGCTAGGAAGTCATCCATGCTAACAGTAAAGATGACATTTGTGGTGTTAGTGAGCTTGTAAAAGAGGCACGGGTCGTGGTGTGATTGCGTATAACCGTGGGAGAGTAGGAATGTGGTTAGTTGGGTGAGGTAGATGTTGGCTGCAGGCGGGGTGCCGTAGAGATTACCGATGAGGATACCATAGCGGCCGGGGTGTTTGTAGGATCCGTCGAATTTGGGGTGTTGGCGGATATAAACTGGCTGATCGTGTTGGTATTTCTCGTGGAGGTAGGCTGCAGTGATGTCAAGGGTTTCAGTGGGCTGGTTGAATGCGGCGGCAATGGCAAGAACGGCACGTATTGTGGCAGGGTCGGCCATGTATGAAGTAGTTTGCTCTGGATTGTAGTGTTTGTGTGGTGTCATACAATCGCCTCTGACGGCACAGCGAGCTTTCCAAGATTGTATGCTGCCGTCGTCATGGCGTTTGTACTTGTACGTCATCATCAGGGGAATTAGTTGCGCATTATTTGGGATCTGTGATTTCGGTATCCATTTGATGGTGTGGTTTTTGTCAAGGTTATCCAGTTCGGCGTCATGAGCTTTTTGCCAGAGTGCTGCGTCGGCGTACCTGCGCGCAGCAGTTAGTGATTTGGGGTTAGGGGTGGTGGGGGTGGGGGTGGTATGTGTATGTGCGTGCGGGGATGGTGTTGGTTTGGGCTGAGTGAGGAATGCGTTGTGGGGGTGTATTGTGGGGTCATGCTGTCTGTAGTAAGGTCGGAAGTCAATGGAGCGGATTTGGTGGTATGTGTTGTTGGCGATGCTGAACACCATGATATGGGTTATGTTGATGCCGTACATATAGCGTGATGGAAATGCGCGTGGTTGTAGCTTTTTCTTTTTGTCTTGATGGAATGGTGCGAAGCCCAGTTGTCCAAAGGTGAACATGTGGGCTGGGTTTGGCTTGTGGTTGTAAAATTTTTCATGGGGTGAAGTGCAGATGCTTTTGTGGTATATCATGTTGTACTTGAAGACTGCGTCCCGGACTGCGTCTTCCCAATGAGTATCGTCGAGCCGCGAGTGTTGGAGCGCTGCGCGAGCGGATTGCATTAGGGTCTGGTTGATGCGCTCAGCGAGTGAATTTTCTTGGGGTTGATGCGGAGTGGTGTGTCGGTAGCTGACTCCGTGACTGGAGTATGTATCTTGCAGGGCTTTGGTTTGGAATTCCTTGGCGTTGTCCGTTCTGTAGATTTGGATGCGGTTTGGGCTGTTGCGTTGAATGAGGTGAAAGGCGGCGGGGATGATTTTGGCTGTGACTTGGCGGTTGGGCATAAAGTATACCAGTAAGTACCGAGACTTTGCGTCTAGGAAAGTGATAAAGTATATGTTACCATGGCGTGATTTGGTGCGGAAGGGTCCACAGGTGTCAGAGCTTATGTGTGCACCTGCGGCATAGTTGTGGGGCTTTCGTGGGTGTGGGCGGGGTTTCTGTTTTGCCGGAGGGCAGGCAGAGCAGGTGAGTGT